GAAGACGCCGCAGATCAAGTAGCTCGCGGACGTGGGCCACCTCCTGCCGAAGCGCTGGATGAGAGGCGCCGTCAGGGAGTAGCCGGGGACTTCCATCAGGCCCCCGAGGATGATGTAGAGGAAGGGGTCGGCGCTGAAGTTGGCCCCGCTGAGGTTGAGGCCATCGAAGACCAGGGACACGGCGAAGAAGTCCAGGCAGACGACGGCCGTGATGGTGGTGATCGCGCGGGTGCTGCGGGGGAGAGGAGGGGGAGAGAGATGAGAGAGGGGGGAAGAGGAGGGAGGAGGAGAGAGGGGGGAGAGGAGGTAGGAGGGGGGAGAGGAGGGAGGGGGAAGGAGGAGTGGGAGGGGAAGAAGGATGGGGGAGGTAAAGGGGGAGGGGGGGAAGAGAGGAGGAAGGAGGTGAGTAAGGGAAGGGGGGAGGAATAGAAGAGAAGGAGGTGGGAGGGAGAGAAGAGAGAGGGGGAAGGAGGAGGTGGGAGGGGGAAGAAAGGGGGGAGGTAAAGGGGGAGGGGAGGAAGAGAGAAGAAGCAGGTGGGTGGGAGAGGGAAGAAGGTTGGGGAAGGGAAAGGGGAAGAGAGGAGGAATGAGGAGATAGGAGAGGAGGGGGAGGGAGAAAGGGGTTGAGGTTGAGGGAGGAAGAGAGGAGATAGGAGATGGAAGGAGGTTAGGGGAAGGAAAGAGGGAGGAGGAGGAGGGAGAGAGGGAATGAGAGGAATGAGAGGGGAAAGGGATGGGGGTTGGAGGAGGGAGAAAGGGGATGAAGAGGTGAAGAGGTTGGGGGAGGGAGAGAGGGAGGAGGAGAAGAAGGGAGAGACGGAGGAGGAGGCGGAGAGAGAGGGAGAGGGAGAGAAAATGAAGGAGTAGGTGGAGAGAGAGGAGGGAGAGGAGGAGGAGGTGAGTGAGTTTGTGTCAAGAATACATTTGTGTGCGTATATGTGTGTGTGTTGTGTGTGTGTGTGTGTGGTGTGTGTGTGTGTGTGTGGTGTGTGTGTGTGTGTGTGTGTGTGTGTGTGTTGTGTGTGTGTGTGTGTGTGTGTGCGTGCGCGCGTGCATGTATGCGTGTGTGTGTGTGTGTGTGTGTGTGTGTGTGTGTGTGTGTGCTGTATGTGTGGTGTGTGTGTTTGTGTGTGTGTGTGTGTGTGTGTGTGTGTGTGTGTGTGTGTGTGTGTGGTGTGCGCGCGCGTGGCATGTATGCGTGTGTGTGTGTGTGTGTGTGTGTGTGTGTGTGTGTGGTCGTGTTTACATATGTATACAAGCATGAATGGGTATAAGCGTACGGGTGTGCTTGCATGTGTGTGTGTCTGTGCGTGTGTGTGTGCGTGTGTGATCGTGATTGCATGCGTATGTATGCAAACGTGATAATTAGGTTTTGATATGATCTTGAAAAAGCTGATAACAATATGAGTTTATCTACCACGATTTTTTTACTCTCTTGTCTTACCCTCACATATATAAACATTGTGTCCCCACCTTCGAAAAGAGGGAGATTTAACTTCCCTTATCTCTCCTGTATCTGAGTGATAAGAGAATGCTTGAAGAATATCGCGAAATTATGGCGATTAATCAACAACAAATAAACAACTGCGTGTTACCTGAGCAGAGCAGGCATGCTTGGGAATCCACATTTCTTGTTTTTCTCTCCTGCTTTTGGCTTGTGCTTCGCTGTGGTGGACTGGTTGTGCGATTCGAGAAAAAAAAAAAGATCCATTTTTTTTTTTTATATAAAATACGTGTGTATTTATTAATTGATAACTTATACTATGTACGCAGAGAACCGAAGATTAAGTAGCATCAACACCCACTCGTATGATATAGAAATAGAATTAAATAACACCAAAAGACCAAAAAGAAGTAATAATAAAAAATATATATATTGCATCGAGGCACTAACACAAAAAAAAAAAAAAAAAAATCCCAGAAAACTGCATCGAGGCACTCACCTAACACACATACACACACACACACACACCACACACACAAACACACACACACACACACACACACACACACACACACACCACACCACAAAAAAATAAATAAATAAATAAAATAAATAAAATAAAAATTAATAATTAAAAAAAAAAAAAAAAAAAAAAAAAAAATATAGTATATATATATATATATATATATATATATATATATATAATATAATATAATATATATATAATATATATATCCCCCAAAAGCTGCATGAGGCACTCCCCCTAACACCAAAAAAAAAAAATAAATAATAATAATAATAATAAAGATAAAAAGGAAAAAAAAAATAAAAATAAAAAAAAAATCCCGAAAAGCTGCATCGAGGCACTCCCCTACACCAAAATAATGAATAATAATAATAATAATAATAATAATAATAATAATATAATAATTAATAAAATAATAATAATAATAATAATAATAAAATAAAAAATGAAAAAAAAAATAAATATAAATTAAAAATCCCCAAAAGCTGCATCGAGGCACTCACCTAACACCCCCCCCAAAAAATAATAATAAAATAACAATAATAATAATAATAAAAATAAAAAATAATAATATAAAAAAAGGAAAAAAATCCCAAAAAGCTTCACGCAAGGCACTCTAATATAATAATAATAATAATATGATAATAATAATAATAATTATAATAATAAAAATTAAAAAATATAATAAAAAAAAGGAAAAAAAATAAAAAAAAAATAAAAAATAAAAAAAAATAAAAAAATAAAATAAATAAAAAAAAATCCCCAAAAAGCTTCACCAAGGCACTCTAATAATAATAATAATAATAATAATGATAATAATAAAAATAAATGAAAAAAAATAAAAAATAAAATAAATAAAAAAAAATCCCAAAAAAGCTTCACCAAGGCACTCTAATAATAATAATAATAATAATATAATAATAAAATAATGATAATAATAAAATAAAAAATAATAATAAAAAAAAGAAAAAAATAAAAAAAGGCTTCACCAAGGCACTCTAATAATAATAAATAATAATGATAATAATAATAATAATGATAAATAAAAATAAAAAATAATAATAAAAAAAAAAGAAAAAAAATCCCAAAAAGCTTCACCAAGGCACTCTAATAATAATAATAATAATAATAATAATAATAATAATAATAATGATAATATAAAATAAAAATATAATAATAAAATAAATAAAAAAATCCCAAAAAGCTTCACCAAGGCACTCTCACCTCCTCTTGAATCTCAGACATGAGGGCGTACAGGCTACTCGGCGCCGGCAGAGTCGCCTTGTTCCACCGGGCTGCCTTCTCCAGCACCTTCAGCGCCTTCTCGTGGTGGCCCCGCACGATGAGCCAGCGCGGGGACTCGTCCATCACGCTGCGACAGGTAGATAGAGGAAGATAGATAGGAGAAGGAGACAGAGAAGGGAAGAGAACAGGAGAAGGAGATAGAGGAAGAAAGATAGGGGATGGAGAGAGAGGAAGATAGATAGGAGAAGGAGACAGGAAGGGAGAACAGGGGAAGGAGATAGAGGAAGAAAGATAGGAGAAGGAAGACAGGGGAAGGAGATAGAGGAAGATAGATAGGAGAAGGAGACAGGAAAGGAGAACAGGGGAAGAAAGATAGGAGAAGGAGATAGAGGAAGGAAGACAGGAGAAGGAGAGAGAGGAAGGAGACAGGAGAGGAGATAGAGGAAAGGAAGGAGAAGGAGATAGAGGAGGAAGGAGAAAGAGATAGAGGAAGGGATTGATAGGATAAGGAGGGATAGAGGAATGAAGACAGGAGAAGGAGACAGAGGAAGGGAGAACAGGGGAAGGAGATAGAGGAAGAAAGATAGGAGAAGGAGAACAGGGGAAGGAGATAGAGGAAGAAAGATAGGAAGGGACGAACAGGGGAAGGAGATAGAGAAGAAGGAGAAGGAGACAGGAAGGGAGAACAGGAGAAGGAGATAGAGGAAAGAAAGATAGGAGAAGAGACAGGAAGGGAGAACAGGGGAAGGAGATAGAGGAAGAAAAGGAAGAAGGAGACAGAGGAAGGGAGAACAGGGGAAGGAGATAGAGGAAGAAAGATAGGGAGAATGGAGAGAGAGAGAAGAAGAACAGGGAGAAGGAGATAGAGGAAGGAGGCAGGAGAAAGGAGAAAAGGGGAAGGAAAATAGAGGAAGAAAGATAAGAGAAGGAGAACAGAGGAAGGGAGACAGGGGGAGGAATAGATAGGAGAAGGAGACAGAGGAAGGAAGAACAGGGGAAGGAGATAGAGGAAGAAAGGAGTAGGAGATAGAGGAAGGAAGACAGGAGAAGGAGATAGAGGAAGAAAGATAGGAGAAGGAGACAGAGGAAGGGAGAACAGGGGAAGGAGATAGAGGAAGATAGATAGGAGAAGGAGACAGGAAGGGAGAAACGGAGAGAAGGAGATAGAGAGAAGAAAGGAGGAGAATAGAGGAAGGAAGACAGGAGAAGGAGATAGAGGAAGAAAAAAACGGGAGAAGGAGAGAGAGGAAGGAAGACAGGAAGAAGGAGATAGAGGAAGAAAGATAGGAGATGGAGAGAGAGGAAGACGAACAGGAGAAGGAGAAGAGAACAGCGAGAAGGAGAGAGACAGAGAAAGAAACGACAGGAGAAGGAGACAGAGGAAGAAGAACAGGAGAAGGAGATAGAGGAAGAAAGACAGGTAGATGGACAGAGGAAGAAAGACAGAAGGAGACAGAGAAAGAAAGACGGGAGAAGGAGAGAGAGGAAGGTAGACAGAAGTAGACAGAGGAAGAATGACAGGAGAAAGGACAGAGGAGGAAGACAGGAAGAAAGACAGAAGGAGACAGAGAAAGAAAGACGGGAGAAGGAGAGAGAGGAAGGTAGACAGAAGTAGACAGAGGAAGAATGACAGGAGAAGGAGACAGAGGAAGGAAGACAGGAAAAGGAGACAGAGAAAGAAAGACGAGGAGATAGATGAAGGAGAACAAGAGGAGATAGAGGAAGGAAGACAAGAAAAGGAGACAGGGGAAGGACGGAAGGGAAGCAAAAGTTCGTCAGTTTTGTGTACTTTGAGGTCATACATATGAATATTCTTTCTCTCTCATCGATGCATCTGTAACAGGGACTATGAACCGCATGAAATAAAAATAAAAAATCGTAATCCAAATGTCTCATCTACGGAATTAGGATCCAAGAAAGAAATCAAACATAAGCACCGCCACACTGCCTATGTCCAGCACCACTGCAGAAAACCACACAGACACCCACTACAGGAACGGGAAGATGAGCACCGTCGGGAGAGACACGGCGAGCTGCAGCCATCTCCAGTCCCGGATGAAAAATGCCATCATACCCCACCACATGGTACCCAGCGCCCATGGTAGGCCGATCAAAATGCCCACGGTTGAACGGTGCTTGGGCTCACATACCTCCATGGCTGAGGGTGAATGGGTTGGGAAATCATTATTGTTCTTTTTTGATCCGTTGGCACCATAATGGATTATTCTATCTACCATTTTTTTCTTAATCAGTGGATTATTCTATCTACCATTTTTTTCTTATCAATCAATGGATTTTTCTATCTACACGATTTACAGAAGGAACATACAAATCGTGACGTTTCGAACACAACAAGATTCCTCTTCAGGTGATAAAACCGAAAAGGGACCTTAGAGGAGTATCATATTTATCCGAAACGTCACTATATGGGTAAGGCTAGATCAGTAGCAACACGAGGAGGTGCCATGCCGTTTGATGTGACAATTGTTCAGTGAAAATATAATCATTAAAAACATTATTTTCCATCCTTTTGGAAAATTGAAAAGACATGTTAGCAAGGGAAGTGCCATGGTGTCTGTTTTGATGATTGTTCAGTGAAAATATAACCATTTAAAATCACTATTTTTCCATCCTTTTGGAAAATTGAAAAGACCAAAATAATCGACCTTATGCACAGAGCATCCGTAACTTTTGTGACGTCATCAAAATAAACCCCATTGTGCATTTTTTTCAAAAATAGAATCAGACGCCATACCTCCTCTAGTTGCTACTGATTTAGCCTTCCCTGTCACTATATATTCTTCCATCCTTGTGATATATTCGTCTACACTCACTGTACACACATTACTATATTCATTTTAGTCTATCTGTTCATCTATATCCACATTTCCCTTCTTCCTTTCTTTCTTTTCCTTCCCCTTCTTCATCCTCTCTCTCCTTCAATCTATCCTTCCATCCATCCGCCCTCCCTCCCTCCTTCACCCCTTCCATCCACCCACCCCTCACCCTCTTTCCCTCCCTCCCAACCTCCCACCCACCATCCCTCCTCCTCCCCTTCCATCCAATCTCCCCCCCTCCCCCACCCCCACCCACTCCCTCCCTCCTCCCTTCCTCCACCCACCCACTCACCTTCCCTCCCTCCCTTCCTCCCACCCACCCACTCACCTTCCTCCCTCCCTCCCTTCCTCCACCCACTCATCCTCCTCCCACCACCCACTCACCTTCCCTCCTCCCCCCTTCCTCCCACCTCCTCACCTTCCCTCCCTCCTCCTTCCTCCACCCACCCACTCACCTTCCCCTCCCCTCCCTCCCTCCTCCCACCCACCCACCTCCTTTCCCTCACTCCTCCTTCCTCCCACCACCCACTCACCTTTCCTCCCTCCTTCCCTCCACCCACCACCCCTCCTCCCTCCTCCCTTCCCTTCCTCCCACCCACTCACCTTCCCTCCTCCCTCCCTTCCTCCACCCACCACCCCTTCCCTTCCTCCCACCCACTCACCCTCCCTCCTCCCTCCCACTCCACCCCCCTCCCTCCCTCCCCCTCCTTCCTTCCCCACCACCCACTCCACCCTCCCTCCCTCCCTTCCCCCTTCCATCCACCCACCCACTTACCACTCCTTCCCTTCCATCCCCACTCATTCGCCCCCTCCCTTCCACCACTCACTTACCCTCCCTCCCTCCCTCCCACCCAACCCCCTCCCTCTCTCCCCCCCTTACCCCACCCAACCCCCTCCTTCCTCCCACCCACTCACCTTCCCCCCCTCCCTCCCACCCAACCCCCTCCCTCCCTTCCCCACTTCCATCCCTCCCTTCCCCTCTCACCTGACTCCCTTCCCCCCACTCTCCTCCCTCCCCCTTCCCTCCCTCCCACTACCCCCTCCCTCCCTCTCCTCCTTCCCTCCCTCCCTCCCTCCCCCTCCCTCCCTCCCTTCGCCCTTCCCTTCCTCCCACCCACCCCCTCCTCCCTCCCTCCCTCCCAATCCCTTCCCCCTCCCTCCCTCCCTTCCTTTCCCCTCCCTCCTCCTCCTTCCTTACCCAGCACGAAGAAGGTAAGAAGGTTGACGGATCCCATGACGAAGCGAACGGCTAAGATGAACGTGAAGTCTGATAAGAAGACGATGCCCACGGAGGTTATAGACACAACCACCTGGGTTATGATCACAACCACCAGACGGCCGTATCTGTGGAGGCGGTGGCGGTGTTACTTGTAAGTTATCTTTTGTATGTGTGTGGTGTGTTAGAATTTTGTTGTTTGTTGTTTTTTCGTTCATTTTTGTTCATTTTTTGTTGTAATTTTTGTTTTGTTAATTTTTGTTGTTCATTTTTTGTTGTTTAATGTTTTGTTTGTTGTTCATTTTTAGTTATATTTTTTTATGTTATAAATATTTTTTATTTATATTTGTTGATTCTTTGTTGTTCATTATTTGGTGTTAATATTTTGTTGCAATTTTTTTGTTAATTTTGTTGGTGATTTTCTATTATTTTTGTTGTTAATTTTTGTTGTAAATTCTCTTTGTTAATTTGTTATTTCTAATGTTTTTTGTTGTTCATTTTTGTTAATATTTGGTTGTTATTTTTTGTTGTCATTTTGTTGTTGTTCATTCTTGTTAATATTTGGTTGTTGTTATTTTTTGTTGTTGTTCATTTTTGTTCATGTTTGTTTGATTTCGTTGTCCTTGTTATATCTGTTGTTATTGTTATTGTAGTAATTGATGTTTTGTTATGATTAAAATTGTTATTGTAATACGTACAATTATTACAATTTATATCATTACATTATCATTATTCCTATTAGATTTATCATTATCATCATCATTACCATTATTGTCTATATTCCAGTATTTTATTAGTAATTGTATCATCAATACAATAATTATCATTATTAGGATAATTAACATCATTATTTCATTTGTACAATCATTATCATTATCATTATTATTACTATTATTATTATCATTATTATCATTACTATTATCATATTTATGTTATCATCATAACCCACATCATTATCATATATTATTACTATCATTATTAGTATTATTGTAATTATCATCACATCATTATCATTATCGTTACTATAAATAAAATCATT